TCCCCTAAACATCATTTGTCCTGGAGATTTCCAGACGTTCTGGGTGCAGTTTGCCCTTTGGGATCTCCTCCCTACCCTGGCAGGAAGGCTGCAGGGAAAGCAGCTTTCATCCTTCCACCCTGCACCCCTGCCCCTCCTGCCTGGTGTCCTGGACACTCGCCAGCCTGTGACCAACTGTCCCCAAGAAATATTTGCTTCCTGTTTTTTTTTTGCTTAGACCTCCAGAGGCCTCGTTTTTCATGAATAAAATATGAGCTGTTCTCCTGGAGCCACGAAGGGAGGAAACCACTGCCAGTGGTTTTTATTGCTGTGGTTGCTGATGCCTCTGGCCTCACTGACAAGGAGAACAGAGGAGAGAGGAAAGGGCTTGAGAGTTTTGTCCAGTGTCTGTTTGCAGTGTGAGCTGTGCTGTCTGGAGCCAGCACTGAGGAACAGCTGACTTTGTATTACCTTGTTTCAAGCAGTTTGTAACTAAGGAATTAAAACATTGCAGTTTGAACTGAAATTTTGGATGGCTAATGCTTGGCTTTCAGTCTCTTCTCCACATTTTTTTTTATTATTTGTCCAGATGAATGTAGAGTTGTACAATCTCTTGTCATAGCTGAATCACACTTTGATTTTTCTATGAGTTTCAAGAGTTTATCAAGATTCTTTTGCATTAGCTTAATTTTTCTTGCAGCTCCTCTTGTCTTGGCACTTTGTTCAGATTTAATAGACAGGCTATACAAACAATAATATTAAATAATAATGTTTACCCTGTTGGTTACTGTGCTTGAGCTCCTACTTTGAAGACTTAATGGATGAAGTGAAGGGATGTCAAATACTACTTTCTTACCCATATGAGTAAATACCAAAAGTATTTACTATGGTTTTTTTTTTTTTTTTCTGGGCTTTAGGAACTATTATCCCCTAAACATCATTTGTCCTGGAGATTTCCAGGCTGCCAAGCAAAGCTTTTCATGTAGATATTCCTTTTGACTGTTATACTGGTACCAGAGCTGAGATCTGAGACTGATTCCCACACCATTTCTGGATCCTCCTTAATAATTCTCCTAAGACAGTCCCTGAATTCAGTACTCATATCAGCTAAGAACAGGTCAGTTTGGTAGATATATTTTTATAATTGTTTCCAAGTCTCTTCTGAGATTTAGCTTTCCAGTTCTGCATGTATGCTTGTCAGTGACATTTTGATAGAAACTTTACCTGAATGGCTAAAAATCTTTCATCCAGCTGGCACATTTACTGGAAAAAAAGATGCTGCCAATATACATGTGGCAAAACTAAACCAGGAAAGTTTGAAATGCCTTGCCCAAGAAGAGAGAAGTTTGGCCTTCATTCCCTATACTGAGCACATTTGACTTCCTCTTTTAATGACTTCAACAATTACATTTGTGCAGGGTTTATGCATATTAATAAGCATGTCCATATGCATGTATTTACATGTTTGTGCATGCAGGGTATTTGTGTAGGACACTGTATAGGTTTGGTTAAATAGAAGTTGACCAATAGCTCATTAAAAGGTCTTAGATTTTGAAGAATATTAATTTTAATCTCTAGACATGAAATTCAGATTCTTCACCCGTACAATGGATATTATTTGGTTATGTCATCCACTTCTTAAATTAAACAAAGTTGTTCAAGACATTTGCTCAGAATTTAAGTTATTATTAATGTAAAATATAGTTTATTGCTGCACTAGAGGAGGATTCTTAGGCAAAGTGCTTCCCAAGCACCAAGGCTGTATAAACTGTGTACTCTAAGTCCTCTGTGACTACACTGTTCTTCAGAGACATCCCTTTTTGTCTGATCAGTGAATTCCTGTTTTAAAACCTCCTGAAATGCCATGGCATAAGGTGATAAAGGTGCTGAAAGGTCACAAAATGTTCCATATTGTCATTAGGGTGAGCGTGAGCTGGGCTTGTGCTGTTGCTTTCTCTGCCTTGCAGGGTTCATCTCCTGTTGATGGGTGATACAAACACTGATGCCACCTGCACTGAGCTCTTTCACTGTAGGAGACTTGCTGGAGTGGAATAGAGAAATGCAGAGCTGCAAACACAATCTTTGTTGCAAAATGAATCTACAGCAGATTTAAAATGGGATTGATTGTACAGATTATCTGCCAGAAGCTTCACTGGGCTTAACTGTGAGTGGATGGTTTGACCTAATACAAGCAGAATACAGCAAAATCCCCCTCATGAACTTCCCTTGTATCAGTGTAATAATCACAACTGTGCTTAGTAAACCTCATCTCAGAATGGAAATATTACTTACAGAAAATAACCTCAGGGTACAGTGCTACAGCATGTTGTGTGCACACACGCACATCAAGTGAAAGGAGGAACAAGATTCACCTCACCTGGTCTAGATTGTAGATTATAAATCAATTTATTAGAACTGGAATTTTATGGAAATGAATGATTGAAAAGGTAGCTGCCAGAAATAGACTTTATTTCCCCAACACATCAGTCAGTGTAAGCAAGGTATTTGACCTCTTTATGTAGCTGGAAAACAGAGTAGAAGGGAAAAGGATAATTTAAAAATCCTATACTACAGCAAAGTGGATCTTTATTAAAGAAATGAAGAGTTTAGAAAATAAAAGCTTATGCTGTCTTTTAATGACATCCCACTGCACCTCAAAAATATAGCACAGGGAAAGGCCTGATCCTGATTAGGGAACTGCACTTGCAAGCCACAGCACAGAGTGCACACTTGCTGTGCAGCCGATTAATCTAATTGATTTCCTGGAGATACTTCCTGTAGGTGGAGTTAAACCTGGATTTATGACTTTTGCTAAATTTGGGCTGGTATTCCTTGTTGAACTCAGCAGGCTGTGAGCACAATGTGCTTCCTAGCACTGGGTGCTTGGATGAAGTTTCATGGCAATGGTGACAAAATCATCTCTCACTGAGACAAGCTCATACAGGCCAGCTGTGGGATGTGGCTTGTGGAGCTGGGAAGTGATTGCAAAGATCAGGGATTCCAGCACAGCTGGGTGGCAGGAATATGGCTTGTGGAGCTGGGAAGTGATTGCAAAGATCAGGGACTCCAGCAGAGATGGGTGGCAGCATGTCCTTGCTGAGGCCTTTGGCAGTCCCCAGGCACATTTCCTGTGAAAACAAATGGCACAACTGTTGTGGGACAGGTCTTGTTTTGTGTGGGAATGATGCCTGCCTCCTGCAAGCCCACACTGGTACAGAAGTATTTCACTCTTCTATCTGCTCTGGGATATAGGCTCACAAGATTTTTCATACACCTGACACATCTCAAAAGAGCACAGTCCCAAGGCAGCAGTGATGGAGTGAATCCAACAAGGTTCTACTTTCTTTTCATCTGCTGCCCAGATTGACCTGCTTATGTACTTCTAGATCTGCCAGGGACAGAAATTGGCCTTTAAATATAGCAATATTGGGTTTTTGCAATGTGGGGATAGGGAGAGTGAAACTGCTCTACAAGATTGAGGTGCTGTTTACAGGGGTTATCTCTCATATCCTCTTTATGTTCTATGGAAACAACTTCAGGGCTTCAGTCACATCTGCCCTTTGAAGAAGGATCTGCATGAGCAGATTTTGTAAGTGGGGAAATTGTTAGACTTAACTCCTTGACTGTTGGGACCTGAAAGTCACAGCAGTGTGTCATTTGCAAGGCAATTCTCTCTGGAAGTGCAATATGGCTTTGTTTTATGACCTTGATGTCATAAAGCATTAATAATCTCTTAAATCTACCCCACTTTTAAACAAAAAACCCCCAACAAGGTACAATCATTTGTTTGGATTTTGGGTTGGTATTTGTAGTCTGCTTAAAAATCAC